AGTAGGCTACAAGGTTTTAGTAAAAATTACTGTAATGTGTCCTGAATTACTATATGATGTGATGTTAGTAATATGTTCAGAATCTACTGGCTGGATCCTTTTTTGAATATCTGATACTAATCTTGTAAGTTGTGTTGAATGTGTAACATTTGTGTTAAATGGAGAGTGACTTACATCAGTGTTGAGGACGTTTGCTGCGTTGGCCTTGCAAGTGTTGTAAAACTGTGGCTTTCATCAGCTAGAACCAGCACGGCCAAAACTGATGATAGTTGGAATCCAATAGTATCTGGAGGATACAGGTTCTGTTAGCCCAGTTTTTAAATACTCATGGTCCAAAATAATGGATGTCACCTGGAACCTAGTTAACCATCATATCCAGATAAATTCTACGTCTTGTAAATTAAAATGTGACTGTCTTATGGTAAGTGATGGTCCATTTTTTCACAGATGGAGTTGGTTACGTAGAAGATGGGAGGGAGATTTTTGATGAAGACTTAGAAGATGATGCTCTTGATTCTAACAAAAGTGAGTAAACATTCTTTGGTAGTTAAATGATCTTTTTAAAATGGTAAAGCAGAGACTTAGTGATTACGGGGAAGCTGGCATGTTTTGATATTGCTGCCTCATGAAGTAGACTTTTACAGACACTACTGGCAGCATGGACATGTTCTGGTCATTGCACGTAGAGAGCAGTTCTTTTGCTAAATTACAGTTTGCTTGGCAAGAGTTCTTTTTGGCTTCTAATAATAGGAGTGTCTTGTTCTACCAATTTAGTTAGGTTCAGAGGATTTATACAGCAAAGGAGCCTTCTTAGGCCATAGTGCCAAAATGTCACTTAGTATTACAAGAATTGGAATCAGTATGAGGTCAAAGCTTCCTCCCAGTTATCTTGTTCAGGATTGTTGTTGGAGAAGAGAAACCTCAGACTTGCCGCCTCCTTTTGGAGTTAGTATGAGGAGAAAGGGAAAACTTTTTTTCCTTTTAAACTTGCCACAATTCGATGTGTTATCTGGATCTAGACTATCTAATTGCAGCTTGTTGAAACAAAGCTGATCTCAAAACACAGTCTATATCTCTGTCTTTTTTCTGATAACCATGCCTAAGGTTAAGTAGAATTGAGGCTATAGTGATATTACAAAGTGCATTTAATATGAAAAAAGAAGCAGATGTTTCTGTCTATTCCTTCTCTTCCTCTAGATGAATTGAGTTTTAATGCCACCCTTGTATATTTAATATTGCTGTTAAAATAAAAGAGGGGTCGACAGCTTCTTAGCAGGATTGCATGTCCTTTGATCCCAGTAGGGACCACACCCTCCTGATCTTGCTGAAATGCAGCCAGTAGAGTTTCTATTTCCAACGTCTTGCCAATTCTGTTGGGGAAGATGGGTATGGATAGTGCCAGACCTTGCATCACAGTAGTGCTTCAAGATCTCTCGTACAGTCTCCTGGGGCTTGCTTCTTGAATGCTTTTTTTCCTAGCAGAAATGCTACAATTTTTGTAGTGTTGATGGAAACTGCAGCAGTGACCAACTTGGGAGGGGTTGGGGACAGACCAAAAGATCTTGTGTGTTGCCCACCTCTACAGTAAGAATAGGGTACCTGTCCAAGGGCCATCATACTGCTTGTGGTGCTTATAGAATGCAGTTGGTTTTTGGTTTTGGCTTTTAGGTTTTGACTTTGATGATTATGGTCAGTAATTGAAATGAATGAAGCAGTGATTTGGAAAATGAAAATTACAAAACAACAACGTAGGAGTAACTCCTGTGGAGTAGTGTTCTTTTGTTTGAACTGAAGTCAGTATTGAAATCGAATCTCCATAAAGGTGTTTTTTCTCTATTTAGGACATGAACGTTTTATGGGAAGGAATGCACTGTTCGTACAACTTTTATTAATGAGTGTTTAATAGTAGGACTCACATTTTGCAGAACAGGCAACAAGTTAGGACACATCATAATTATTGTCTTGATTACAGCACCCATATTTTAAGCAAGAGTTGCAGTGTTCATAAACCAACAAGTTTTTTGTGGCAGATTGTCAGCAGTGGGTTTGCATATGACAACAAGCTGGATTTCATGGCTTCTTGTGGAGGTGAGAATTGTGCAAGGATTGCCATTGCCATTGTTTTGCCTTAGAGCAGGGGTCTCCAAACTTTTTACAGTGAGAACCACAAAGTTTTCAAAGTTTCTGAGGGACAAAGGAACAGGAACGTGTGTGTGTGTGTATGTGTGCGCATGTGGAGACACAGGCACCCCACATGCCCATGCCCCTGCCTGCGCACATGCACGCCCCCTGCATGTGCACATAGGCTAAAGGGAATAGGCCGGACAAAACGGCAATGCAGGCCATAGTTTGGAGACCCCTGCCTTATAGGAATGAGGCTGGCTTCCCTTAATGAGCCTAGCAATTCACTTTTGCTGTGAAGAGCAGTTTGGAAGCCTTTTGCTTCATTTTTTTGTTTAGTCGCAGCTTGTCTACAAATTTGGCCAGAAGCTGGTTACTGTTAACTAGATATGGGATATTTGTATTAAACACCCAGGGGAGATGGCTATGACTGTCGCCACCACAGGTGGCCGGGCCAATTGGACCCTCTCCCCAGAACCGAGCTGTCCGATTACTGCTTGTGATCATTGCTGTTTGCACTATGCCAAGCACTGGAAGTAGCCCATTTGGGGCTTCCCCTCCTCCCTGCACTGCTGACCACACAGCAGCTGAGTGGGGAGACTCGTCACCCCGACTCCTTGCCGGATCTATCAGCAGCGCCATGCCACAAGCAGTAAGTGAGATGAATACAAATATCCCATCTCTACTATTAACTCTGGTTAGTGGAAATGAGGCTGCTTCAAACCATGAGTCTGGCTTGTTTCTCTCAAGGGGTTGGTTTTTTGCCAGCATACTAAACTGTGTTTCGACTAAAATGAAAAGTTTCCAAATATTTTTGGCTATGCTGGGAAGGAAGGGGTTTGACAGTTGTGCAGAGGCTAGGCTTACTGTTATAAAGCTGAATAATGTTTTAGCATTGCTTTTGAGCAAAGCTGTAGACTTGGTAACTTATGTTACCTCATGAATAGATTTTTCATATTTTAAGATGTTGTTTATATCTTATATTGGCAGGAAAAAGAAACATAACTTCCACAAATGACAAGAAAAATGTGAAGAAGGCTGTGGTAACAAAACCAAACACTATTAAATCTATGTTTATGGCCAATACAGGGAAGAGAAATACTGATGTAAGTATTGTATTACCTTTTTTGCATAAAAGGATCTGAATAGTAATAGTAGTAATAATTTGCACACAACATTCTTTAATGCTTCCTATTATTTCTTTCTACTTTACATGAAAAAGAGTACAGTGGAAGCAAAGCAGACAATTGTTTCTAGTAGATTGGAAAAGCTGGTTTTGTTGATGCCATATAATTTTTATTTATTACCATTTACTGAGCACAAGTGTCTCATTTTACAGAAAGCTATTGACCTGTCCAAGGATGATTTGCTAGGAGACATTCTGCAAGATCTGAATGCTGAGGTAGGACTGAATAATGTGTTCTGGGGAGATGATAGACAAACAAAATACAGTTTTTAAATGTATTTTTCTGCAGATACTCTAAAGAGAACATCAAATATATGTTGGTGAAATATGTTTCTATTGTCTTAATTAGCCTAATAATGCTTCAGCCATCTGGAAGCTTGCATATGTTTTGATTCAGAGGTAGAAAAGTCAGCTTCATTTGTCTCTTGTAAACTCTGGCGGGCCTTGCTTGGAGGCAGGGTAGAATTTTGTTTATTTCATTCATATCCTGTCATTTCTCCAAGGAAGTGGTGGCTTTTAATGTGAGAGAAGGAAGAGGCAGAAATACTGAATTGAGACTTTAAGTATCTTAATGCAGAACAGTGAGAAGCTTCTCCTTTGTAAATTCCACTCAATCAGTTACAGCTTAATTTTCTTCCCTTTTAGCCTGTTCACATATCAGCGCTACCAGTTGCAGTGCTAAAAAAGAAGAGACTTTTTGAAACACCTCTGAATCCTTTTTCTGTGCAGTCTCAAAGTGCAGTGCCCAAGGTAATTTCCCCAAATGAAAATATTAACACTCCTGAAGTTTTAAAAATATCATTTGTTTTAAATTCTGTTGTGTGTTATGAGCTGTCAAGTTACAACCATGTTATGGTGACCCTGATAAGGTTTTCAAGGTATGTGAGATATTTAATTGAAACAAAAGAGAGACATGTGGTCAATACAGTCCTGCTCCACTGATATTGTGAGTCCCTGTGTCTTCTTGTTGGTGCAGGGAGTGGGGGGAGCAGCTATTTCTTGTTATCCTTATAATTCCATTGAAATAAAAGGGAGCCATGTGGTCAATGCAAAATATAAATGCAAGAGTAAGTGATACCTTTAAAGACCACTAAATAGGCAATATGTGAGCAGGACTGCAACCACTAGGTAATATTATTTTGACTGTAATCTGATCCCATTTGGCTAAATCTACTGAGTTTACTAAATTATCACCTCAGTTCCCAGATTAAGGACCTGGATTTTCTGTGTTGCCTCCCCGCTGCAACTTTGAAACAACAGCTCTAATGCAGCCTTGTAAAATCCATCTTGCCATGAACTTTTGAACATTAAGTTCCTCACACTGTTACACGCCTGATGAAGTGGTCCTGATCTATGAAATCTTGCAGACTGTATGATTTTTTTTTAGTGTAAAGGGATCGCCTACTTCTGCATTTGAGATACAGTGGTGCCCCGCAAGACAAATGCCTCGCAGGACAAAAAAACTCGCAAGACAAATGGTTTTGGCAATTTGGGGCGTGTGTGTTGATGACTCACAAGACAAATGTTCCTATGGATGTGCTTCACAAGACAAATGTTTTCTGTTTTTTGTTCCTGCCTCATGTTTGCTGATTTTTAAATGTTTTTCTATGATGTTTAAAAAGT